CAACTAGCACATTCAAACTTTCTAACCGCCCATCTTAAAATCTCTCTCCACCGAGGGAAGGTAAGGGGACCCATCACCATTTTCAAGTTGGGCCCTGACTTCTAGGGATTCATACAAGTAAGCTGTGGTTGGTAATAACTCAGAAATCCATCCAGGACCAAGGGGCATCCTGGATAGTCATAACACAAAGAGAAACCCTCGATTTTTGTGTGATATTAGTACAAATACAGCACAGCTAGCACTAACCATGTCAAGTACACAGAATTACAAAAAAAAAAAACCAGAACATCTTTGTAGCTCTGCTTCACGCTTTACCACATGAGCTCATGCGGTATGTCTGGATGGATGGATGACCAAGAGCTTTCTCAGCCTCTCTCATCACCACTTGCGGAGTCCAAGAAGCACAGTGGATCCGATGTGGTAACTTTCCACAATTTGAGCAAAGTGGACTTGTGAGATCCCGATCTCAGATTGTGCTTTGCACCAGGATAAACCTTGTATACCTCAGATCACTATGGCGCTTGGAACACTTCCAAGGTGTGGGAGTCATTGTCCCACAGGTCAGCAAATGGTAGCTAGAGGTCAGAGAGTGAAGAAACTGTATTCAAATCCATCTGTCTGTTGATCAATTCTGTGTTGTTTCCAGAGTCCCTTCTGAATAAACAGTATGAAGTTTTCTGTAATTTTTTTAAGTGATAATGCCTGGTTCAGCACATTCTGGGACGAGAAGGGTAGAAAGGTTTGACAGTTTCACCTCTGATTACCACAACATAACCTTGCCTGGGGTGTTCTTGAGGCCACCACTCAGTCAATGTCAGAATGGACCTTCTTTGAGGATGAGAAAATAAAATGTGCATTTATTTTATGCTACAAATGAGTGTAAATTAATCAGAGCTTATTCCCATTTAAATGCACTTTTTATGAGAATTTGCAGAATGACTGAATGCATCTTTTTCTTAGAGAAATAATTTTGCATGATATTTGTAACTGACTAAGAGTACATATTTTCATAAAAAGGTTATTTGAAAGAGCAATATTAGAAGCTCAACTCACCCAAACAGGGCTGGCCTGGAATCACATCCCGCGAACGGGAGCCTCTATCGTGTCACCTCAGCTTCCATTACAAAAGGAGCCATTCTCGTGTTGTGTATTTTAAGCACAGTTAAAGAAGAGTGGGCCAGGACAAGCCTTTCAACCACTGGAATTCAACAGCAACGGGCCCTCCAGAGGCAATATCAAAACCCTTCTCACTCAGTTTCACTCCAGAGCTTAATGACGTGCCCGATTTGACACACACAGGGGAGACTTGGAATAGTAATGTTAAGTTTCAGGATTGGCTCCCTTGGTCATATACCAAGATCCTGAGGAATTCTGCATTAACTTTCATAGGTAAATAGAACAGGGATTATGATAAATGGGTTAGTTATGACTGCTAATATTTTTACATATTGAGAACTTAGAATAGATCAGACTTTCATGGTTTTTGCACTGTTTTTTCAGCACAAATCAGAACTTTGTGAAAGAGAGGGAAGACACCACAAATGATATATGAGAACTCTTTTACAAATATGCATGGGGGCATCTTTTGCCCTTGCTGTCAGATGGATGGCATTGGTCCATGAGTTCATACAATGCACACTTCATATCATGTTAATTATAGACCTTAGATGCTAGGTTTATGATCTTTTTCATATTACATGGGAATAAGGAAACCTGACTTTCCTCAATCCCTGTCCAGCCTCACAGTTTGCTGTAGATGTTAATATCCAGTTTCACAGGTGATGAATATGGGTCACTGAGATGCCAGTGAGTTGCTAGCCTTCACACAACGAAGGGCAGCAGCAGCATCCAGCCCAGGCCAGGCCCTGCTGCTGCAAGCACAGCGCCTCACCCTTTCTGCGGGAAAGGAGTGGGAGAGACAGGCCTGAGACCATGGCTTTGATTGCTCTCTCAGTCTCCCCACATTTTGGAGGACAGCACAGGAACTGTAGACAGGTATGTTGGTTCCACACAGGTCACAGAGGACATGAAAGAAATCAGCATTATGGTTCTACCAAAAGAAGAAAGAAAGAGAGGAAGGAAGGAAGGAAGGAAGGAAGGAAGGAAGGAAGGAAGGAAGGAAGGAAGGAAAGGAACTACCCCTGGAGTCCCACTCACTCACTGCAGCCAATGAGAGAGTCTTGGTGCTCAGAGCTTCCCTGGTGTATTCTGTCTGTCCAAATGAGATTAGAACAGCACAGACAGTTGAGAAGATACAGCCAAACCAGGTGAAGTACCCCTTGTCTGTATGTGGACATACCCTGTCCGCTTATCCAGTACAGCCATTACCCTACCCCCCCCACACACACACGATAATACAATCCACAGGACTGATTAAATCATGTGTAACAGTAAGGGTGTGAATTTTGTTCGTTAGAGTCCATGGGCCTTCTGTGTCCCAGACTTTTCATCTTTCAAGGCCAAGTCTACAGCTCTGTTCAGTATCCCCATGCAGTTATCTTTATTGATAAAAGATGTAAATACTTTTCTCCTCTCTGTCTCTCCTCTCTGCGTATCTGACTTTGTAATAAAAATAAATAAATCTTAAAAAAAAAAGATGTAAGTATTTTTAAAAACATGACTACTTCCCAGTATGGATGGGGAACTGTCCTAGCAGGAGTAAAGTAATTTTCTCAAACGTTACTGAATTCTGTAAAACAATACGTTTTCCTACGAAAGCGCTCAAGCACAAAAACCCAGAAATGTTCACAGTAACATGAATGAGGGAAGAGCGGAGAGATCATTTCCAGATACCTGCAGTGCCACATCCTCAAGAGCTTTCCACTTCTAAAGCCAGACCACGGTCCCCCTGTGCACCCTGCTCTCCTGTGCACCCCGGGAGTCGTCAGCCATATTTCCTCTGCTCCTCCCCGTCCACAGTCTGGCAGGGACAGGAACTTGCTTCAGAGCCTCCTGCCACTCTTCTGTTCTTACTCCTGGCTAAACTTAGATGTCAGTTCTTTTATATCACGAAAAACACTTGTCCTACCTCCATCATTTTGCCCACCCTTGCTCTCTTCCATCCCCTACCCTCTCACCAGATCTGACTCTGCCATTCTCTGCTCTGATCATCGCTGGCGCCTCATGGCCTACAGGACAAGCTTAGTTTAGGAAGACACCCGGATTTTTGGAGAAGGTTTGTCTTCTTTATTGAGAAATATCCGTAAACCCTAGATCATGTCCCAATTCAAACATCACATCTGAGTGTCCTACTGCTTCCCTATATTCTTTATTTTTTAAGATTTATTTATTTATTTGGAAAGGCAGATATACAGAGAGGAGGCAAAACAGAGAGGAAGATCTTGTGTCCGTTCATTCACTTCCCAAGTGGCCACAATGGCCAGAGCTAAGCCAATCCGAAGCCAGGAGCCAGGAGCTTCTTCCAGGTCTCCTACGTGGGTGCAGGTACACAGTCCCAAGGCTTTGGGCCGTCCTCGACTGTTTTTCCAAGTCACAAGCAGGGAGCTGGATGGGAAGCAGGGCTGCCAAGATATGAACTGGCACCCATATGGGATCCCAGTGCGTGCAAAGTGACTCCTTTAGCCACTAGGCTACTATGCTGGGCCCCCACTTCCCTATATTCTAAAAACTTTTATTTTACTTGACCTTTTTACTAAAATTATTTCATCAAAATGAAATTTCCTGCTTGAAATATTTAAATGCCCTGTTGTTCTTCAAAGAACAGTTACATCTCATCCCAATCTTATGCCACCTACATTTGAATACATTTATTTATGATGCATCATAACAAATGTTTATAAAGCACTATGACTTCTGTACATGTTCCTAAGTGCACGTTTCCTGCTTTCCTTCTAGCCTCGGGGTCTAAAAGCTCCTAACAATTGTTCTGTCTGTATTTTTATTTACTACCTCAGTAACTTCTCAAGTAAATGGTCAATAGGCATGTTGAATTAATGTAAAAATTGAACTCAGAGTAAGTAGATACAAGGCAACAATATAAACACATTACAGTATTGTGTTCGTTTAAACCAAGATATAGGAAACAATTAAGAATAGCCCAAATACCTAAATTCTCTGGAATGTTACACAAAGATTATCAAAGCAGTAGATTGCTTTGGCCATATGAATTACAACTGAGAAGGTAAAGTAATCTGTCTCTTCTTTCACTCCAAGAGAAATATTTATTTGAAAATCAGCTAACAAAATCTACTAGCAACCGTCTCCTTCTGTCTTTCAATATTTTTGTGCAACTCACTCATTGACTGATGCTACCATTGGCTAAACTATCCAGTTAAGGCTTGCTAAAGAGCTTCGCAAACACACCGGAACAACATTAAGCCATCAGTGAGTGCTGGCAACCCCCATGGTCTCTGGCAGCCGCAGCTCCTGATGGCGCCCTGCCTGCAGCCTTCTGGCGCTGGCTGTTTGGGTTCAGCATTGAGAGCACATATTTTTACTGCCATTCAATTGTCACATCAAATCCAAATCAAAAGGATGACTTAGGAAAGTGCCTGCAAGGTGCCACAGCCCAGTCCCGCAGGACCTTCCCCACAAGGCCCGACTAATTTAATTTGCTTCCTTAACCTGCCCTCTCCCTTATCCCACCAAAAAAAAAGATTATAAAGTGACTGTTTTCTTCAGCACAAATCAGAACTTTGTGAAAAAGAGGGAAGACACCACAAATGACATATGAGAATTATTTTACAAATATGCATGGGGGGCATCTTTTGCCCTTCCTGTCAGATGGATGGCACTGGTCCATGAGTTTATACAATGCACACTTCATATCATGTTGATTATAGACCTTAGATGCTAGGTTTATGATCTTTTTCATATTACATGGGAATAAAGAAACCTGGCCTTCCCTCAATCCTAGGGTTTTTTTCGCCAGGTTGGGTGGGTCCGGCTTGCTTTGATGGGTATTCCTAGGGTAGCTCTGTTGCACTAAACGTTTTCCTTCACTCTGGAATTCACTTCCCAATTCTTTGAATCCTTTTCAGCTGGCAGACGGCTTGGTCTCGGACATGTTCCCCGCCACTGGCTCAGTGATTTTAGCCCTGTTACTGATCCTCCTGCTGGCTGCGGTTGCTTCAGTCATTGCTTCCAGCAAAAGGGCAACTCAGGGCACCTACAGCCCAAGCCATCAGGAAAAGGAAGGCGCCCGAGTGGAGATGTGGAGCATGACCCCGCCTCCTGCACTTGAACGGCTGATTTAGCTCTTCCTCCTCCTTTGAGAGATGTGCTGCTTGTGAAGGAGCTGATTGTCCTGGAGGGCCCTTTCTTACTTACCTGGAAATATACATGTGCAACTGGAGCCCCCTGGAACCGGGAAAGATTCCTTCGATCTCCTTGAAGACTTTCAGAGTGGTTCAGCTTCACACTGCTGTGTATTACATTATATAAGAAACCACACAACAACATTTGTGCCAGTAATTTCTACCCGATAATGAGCAAAATGACCCTTCAGGAAACCATTTTCGGAGAAAAAGTTGTGCTATTGCTTGAACTTTTCACAACCTGCGGACAACCTTTTGCTATGCCCCAGTGGGCCACTGCCACTATTTTCAAAAGGAAACAATGGCAGGAGGGCCAGTATACCTTTTGCACTCCGCCTCACACAGTGTACGCTTTTAGTTGCATTCCTGTGATGAAATGGACACTTTTGTTCCTCACTGATCAAGAGGAAGCAATAGAAATGACCTTTTGGCTTCAAAAAATGACTCAACAGCAACAAATAAAAATTGAAATGCTTCTATTCTTCTTTCTGAAAATTTTTCGCACTTTGAAATATTACATGGAATAAAAGAAACCTCTAGAAGCAGTTGAAGAATCTGCTTACAAATTAGTTCTTTAAACAAATTATCTCGATTACATTTAAAGTCATCGCTCTTTGTAGAAAGGTCGTTTAGGATCAAAACACTTCCTAGACAAAAATCAAAATAGGAGCAAAACTGGGATATTCAATAGCAAAGATCAAGCTCTTTCCTTTCAATTGCTTTTTCAAAAATCAATTTTAAACATTGGCATTGTCTGAAGGTAAGATCTCCCTTAGTGAGATGCATGTACTTCAATCGCATGTGTGCAAGGCTGTCCGCAAGAATGCAGGGAGAATACTGGGACTTCTATTCACATGCATTTTTCCACACATCATTTACTTATATCTGACACACATTTTTGAAATGCACACACACGCCACCATAATATAAATCAAATTTTAAAATACACATGTACATGTCTGAAATTTTCATAAAAATTTATAAAAGAGCATTTATTTATTCGAAAGGCAGAATGACATAGAGAAAGGGACACAGGGGGGAGACAGAGACAGATTTTCCATCTGTTGGTCGCAGTCCAGAAGGCTGCAACACCCAGGCTGACTCAGGTGAAATTCAAAAGCCAAGGACACTGTGTGGGTCCCCCGAGTCCCTCATCCATTTTTTTCCAACAACATTATTAGAAGGCAGCTGGATCAGAGGGGGAGGGGCTGGGACTCGATCTCTGCCATTCTGAGATGGGATGCAGGAATCCCAAGCAGCAGCTTCACTTGCTGTGCCACAGTGCCCATCCCTAAAGACATGCATTTGACCATCTGACCTAGAACAATCCTCCATTCTCATCTACCCAAGACAATTCCCACAGGCACAGAACATGCTGTTGTCTTTCATATCATGGAAAGTTCTTTCTCATTACCTACAATTCCCTCCCATTTCTCAAACTTCCCTTTCAACAATATATCTACAAGATAGTTTCACATATCCTGTGTCTCCCTATCTCTTCTCTCTTGAATTCAAACTAACCTGGCTTTTCTTTGCCTCACTCAGTTGTTCACATTAGTAACAAAATGACTGGCCCTCATCCTTCAACTCACCCAGCCTTTTAGAAGCTGAGGCTGGAACAATAATTAATTCTCCTGAATTGTTTTCCATGTGACAGGGAATTACTCTATCTTGACTTTCTTTGAATTTGGTGTCCATCCACTCTCAACCTCTTCTACTGGTATTCTGAGCACTCTTTTTCAGATAGTTTATCATCCATCATGGGGTCACTTATTTTGCTGTTTCCCCAGAATACAATTTAAAGTACAGGAAGACATACATTTTGTTCTTTCTGTGCAGTATTTCTTGCCTAGAAGTGATCTAGCTCTTATAGAAAGCACAGCATTTTCCAGAGAAGTAAGCATATAATCATTCAGGCTTATTCAAACTTGTATTTTCCACTAGCAAAAACCAAAGTGTCCAACATCTGTGTGGGCTGACATAAAATGCTCTGGCTGCTAAACTCCTTTTAGTCAATCTAATCTACAGCTTTCTCGCCACAGCTAATACTGCTACAAGTGCAAGTTCAAGGAACTGAGTGTCTCTGGATATCCAATGTACAGCATATCATGACACATTTATTTTGCATTCCATTGGAATTATAACTTCATAACTGAGGTTTATGTAAAAATTGTAAAAAAAAATTTGTGTTGAATTAAAAAAGTAGCTGAGTTTTAAAAACACAAATTGAAAAAAATAAAGTCTGTTGGTTCTACTAGTATTTAATCCTACAAGTAGGATTAAAGAGATAGCTGTTTAAAAGAACACATTAAGTTTAGAATAGAAGAGAATCAAGATGGTGGAATAGGGTAAGGACACGTTTAAACGGATGGAAAAACATTTAATCAGGATGAAGCAGAGAGGACATATTTCAGGAAATAGCAAAGAACAGAACAACAGCAGAGCGGTACCTGGAGACTGACAGACACAGCAAAGCAGCTAAAACAATGGTGTGGTGTTGCAGTGACTGATACTCCAGCAGCATTCAGTTAATGGCTACCTGAACTCCACCAGCAGCCAGAACTCCACCAGCAACCAGGTGGGAAGGGACTTTCACTGGGTGCTTGGGTAGTGAAGCCAGACAAAGAACTGCCCATCCTGCTGGTCTGTTTGATTTGACCAGGAACAGAGACAGAGAGGCAGACCCAGATGGGCAGTGCAAAAACAGGATGGATTTCACAGCCCAGTCTGGCACCTAAAAGCCGAATTGGAAGACATTTTGCTTAAGGAGGCAAAGGCAAGAGAAAGGACTAAGCATAAACTGAGCTTGGAGTGAACTCATTTCTGACTTGGTGAACTGCAATAATGCAGCATTCTACAAGCTCCACCCAAGACAGGTCTGGGTAGCCCTCCAATCTGACCTATGGAGCAGCAGATCAAGAACTCTAGTAGTAGCACATCAGGCACCATTTTGTACAGTGTGGCAAATGTTTTAAGACTTCGGGAACAACCGTGAGCTGTGCATGTGCTGAGCTCATGAGAACTCATTGAATTCAGTGCATTGCACTGGTCCTACAGGAAAATAATACCGACTGTAGCATCACACAGGTCAAAACAGGTCCATGTGGCACCCAGACCTAACACACAACAGGGTCCTGCAAGATTACCACCAACAACCTAGCTACACAGGACACCTAGTGTCTCCCTAATCCTGGGACCTGCTCAACCAGAAGAAAGTTTGTACAGACAACAGAGCAGCCTCAGCCAGACATCACAGGAGGCGAGACTGGTGAGCCAGGAGTTGGGGCTATGGAGATCATGGTAGAAATCTAACATAAGAACCCAGACGTGGAACTTGCTGGAGGCAGTGGCACAAGATTTTGCAAACACGGAGCCTAGTACCAATTGCGATAAGTAAACTCGAATGATAGATCTTTGGATGACACAGCTTAGAAACTTGCCCCAAGGAGAAAAATCCTATAACTAGAAGTGCAATGATCAAGAGCAAAGAAGACACAAAAGTAAAACAAATGTTACTGAAGACTCCCCCTTCAAAGGAGCAAAAAGCTTTGCCAACCTCAGAGTCAACTGAGGAAGACATTGAGGAAATGGGGGACACAGAATGCAGAAAACTCATTATAAAGCTTCTGATCAACAATGAAAAACATGTACAAGAGTTCAAAGAATTTAAGGAATATATCACACAAGAAAGAGCAGCAATAAAGCAAATCAAGGCTGATAGATCAGAAATTAAGAACATCATAACGCAAATTAAAAGTACAATGGAGAGTCTCCAAAATAGGATGAAAGAAGCAGAAGAAAGAATCTCAGAATTGGAAGATGTTTCTTGTCACCAGAGGGAAGCAAACAAAAAGCTGGAAGCAGAGCTGAGTCAAGCTAAAAAAAAAAAAAAGGGATTCAAGAATTGAAAGACACTATCAAAAAGCCAAATATGAGATATGGGAGTCCCAAAAGTTGCAGAAATTGATACTGGGATTAACAGTGTATTCAATGAAATAATAAGGGAACATTTCCCTGATCTAGAGAAACAATTGAGAAACAACACCCAAGAGGGGCACAGAACTTCCAACAGGCTTGATCCAAAGAGATCTTCACCACAACACATGATCATCTAGCTCTCTTCGACTGAACATAAGGAAAAGATCCTTAAATGTGCACGTGAAAATAAGTCAATTGACATATAGAAGAATGCCAGTTAACCTCATTGGAGACCTCTCACAGGAGACTCTGCAGGCCAGAAGAAAATGGAGTGACATATGTCAGATTCTAAGAACAAAAAATTGTCAGCCCAGGATAACATATACAGCAAATCTTTCCTTTGCCCTTGAAAATGAAATAAAATTCTTCCACAATAAAGAAAAGGTAAAAGAATTTGCTTCTTCCAAACCTGCCCTACAAATGATACTTCAAGATGTTCTCTTGACAGAGAAGAGGAATAGCACCCACCAAAACCAAAAGGCAAATGTCAAGAACATCCCAGTAAAATGACAACAGAAGACGAAATCAATGAAAAACCCATTCCTAAAATGACAGGACCAAAGTACCACCCTTACATATTAAACTCTGAACGTAAATGGCTTAAACTCAGTCAAATGTCACAGATTCATAGATTGGATTAAATAACAAAACCCATCTATTTATTGCCAACAGGAGACACATTTCACCAACAAAGATCAGTGGAAACTATATTTCATGAATTTTTATTTTTTGTTGTTGTTAGTTTCATCTCTTGAAAACACTTTCTTCTTCATTAAATTCTTCAATGATTCATAGATCATACAGTAGCATCATTTTCTTCAAGAAAGTTCCTGATTTTCTTTTATATTTCTTCAGCAACACATTAATCATTCAGTAGCATGTATTTAACTTCATGGTGTTGTTACTTTCTTTTTTCTTCCTGTTGTTGATTTTGTTTTGTGCCTTTTTATTTAAGGGGATGT